TACTAGAAGAGACAAGTAGTTAAAGTATTCTTATCCGGATTAAGATTAGTTTTCGATGAATTAATTTCACAAACGACACATGAAAAGTTTGGTATATCTCCTTCTTCTGTTCGCGTAGATACTTCTTTGTACTGATTTACATTAGTCATCCTCATAGTGCAGAAGTGCCGCACATCGCGAGAGATATTAACATCGCAAGTGTTTGAGGATATTTATTTTCTTTCCGCGCCATATGCCCAACTGCGGGGAATTCCCGAATGACAGCAAAATCGTATGCGTCAAATGCAAACAATTCGCAAGAATTTGGCAGGGGACGTGACAACAGCTGCGTATGGCGGATGTTGTTATTACCAGGTCATTGGTATCCACGGTTACAATCTCCCGAAGTTACGCGTTAATCTGTGGGAAAAAAACGGTTCATACCATTGTTGAATAGTAGCTGAAATCGGCCACAACAGTGTCAATAAAGCGCTGTCATTTCTTTCGAAATATTTTTTTCGATTGGCGAGAGAAATAAATGCCTGATGTATTTTATATTTATTCGGCTGAAGAGATCGATCGAACATGTAATGTTAATTTAAATATGTGCAGAAATTCAAGAATAAGGGCAAAAGATAAAAGATAAAATAAGGAATATTCAGGATATATACATTTGTTAAAACAAATATTGCCGATTTGATTGCAATTGTAATTATAATATATTATGCAAGAATTTTCATTTTTCAATGAATAATTCTTCAAACTTGCTTATTCAGAAACAATTGCGGTACTCTAATATTACTTTTGGCCTGAGGAAAAAGAATGAAATTGTAAGACAGAACAGACTTTGTATTTTCACTGATCAATCTCATAAAATAATCACACATTTTCGTCGTATATGTATACATATTTTTTACCAAGCATACTTCCTTCTCTCTTTCACTCACTCTCTTTTATTTCTCACATTTTTCGTATCAGAAAAAATACAAAATTTTCGGCTGGAAAATAACGCCGGATAGATACGTCATATAGGCACAAGGGGAAAGAACAGAAAGCGAAGATAAATAAAGTATCACACTATAAATGAGGAATCAAAAAAAAAAAATTATGCGTTGCCCTTGTACATCTTTCAGTTTAACGTTTTCCTTGCATCCATTTTCCTGCAATAAGGCAGAGGGGGGGAGGATTGTAGGATTGATTTGGGTTGTAGGATAAATTTTTTCGAAAGTCCAGGATTCTTCGAATATAACTCTTGAACGATTCGAATGGACTTTTCTCGAGCATCGCGAAAGTATCTGAAACGCTTCGAGAATTCTAAACGGACGCTAAATCTGGATCGTCGTATATAGGGTGTCCTGCACAAATCTCATATATAAATTCTTGAAAGAATGCAAAATCAATCTGCCTTCATCATTCAAATGATCTATTCTTTCGCGTACATTTTGCATGCTAGAAAGAGAATACTTTTTTATAGGTTTCTTATTTCAGATTTCTGGGTTAAACTGTATGAATTAACTTCAGGCTCTTGAAGATATATATTTATTTCTTTTAAAATAATAATAGGTAATTAGTTTTTTTCTTCCTAAATTGGATACAACACTGCAGAATCAATTTCGCGCACAAAACCAAGTTTTGTCACAGAATCAAGAAAAAGAAATTAACTGATTCAATGTCGAAGTAAATATAACGAAGTAAATCACAATTCTTTTCAACTTCCCGTTGATCTATATTTTATTATAGAGCAAGATCTATATTTTATTATAGAGCTCAAGATTTGAATTTTAATTTTACAATTGTTTCATGATCCCATATCCTTTTTTCGACACATGTAAATTTGTAATTCTTTAAAATCTGTAACTTTTTTTTATTAGAAAAATATCTGGTTGGGTTACAGGAACCCAATATATAATTTATACATACTATATGATCGTTTGCACAAATATGCGCGCGTTAATGTATGCAAATTAATATATGTCACGAGACACATCGAGTGAAGGTCGATCAAGTTTAGGAAGATAAGAAATGAAGGCGATGCACACACACACACACACACCGAATCGATATTTTCGGCATTCACGACTCTACAGTTTGTGTGTCGTATGTATGTACGCATGTGTGTATCCATATGCCTTGTATACACATTCGTGCCACTTTGTACCGGCGGATATGCGCACGATACGAAGAGAATTATTAGCATAAACAACAAACACACTCGCGAACACGAAATTATCTCGCGGCCAGGCATACAATAAATTAGAAATATATTATCATCATTGCGTGCACACTCTACGTGACGCTACACTGAGTATATTACATACTTGTCAAACAGACCAATTTTCCTGCATATCGTGAAGAATTTGAAGAAAAATTCTGATTCGAATAACAAATTTTAAAATGTATCCTTTATATTCATTTTATAAAATAAAAATATTTCCTCTAAGATTACTTCACTTACGTAAAAATTTCTCCGGATCCAAGTTGCTTTTAAATGAATATCGGTATAAATTGGTCTGGTCAACAGATGAGTATACAGGGAAACTACGTCTCTCCTTTTACAGGGTGTCTTCGAAGCTGATATCCTAAACTTTAAGCCTGAGTCTTTGATTTTTTTTCTATGAGATTTCGAATCTACCCCATATAAGCTAGACGCGATCTCCGTCTATCTCCGCGATCTCGCTATTTCTCATCCATGAGTTCGCAAATAAATTAGACGAAAGATGAGGATTATACATCGTTGATAGAGAGAAAATTGTTGCATCTCTACGTAGATTCTTTCTTAGAGTTGAAAAAATATAATGGAACATGCAGCATCAGACGTGCGGCTGATTAGAACTTCAGATCAAAGATCGTTTCTCTTCTCGACGAAGCAAACTCATAAGCGGTACCACTCCAGTTCGTTCCCGTTCATCATTATTCTATAAAAGAAGGCCTCGTCCTAAGGCAAACGACGAGTGAACTCGCGGAACCGAAGAGTTCGATTTTGTTGCTCGGCTCGAACGCGATTAGCTTGACTCTAGCTCTAGAACTCTGGAGAAAGTAAGAATTGATAGCAGTGTTTATTTAGCGCCTTTACAAGTCATCAGCCAAGTGTCACTTTGTGATGTCTACAATTCGAAATTTGGTTCTCCGAAACTTTTTCTCTTCTTCGTTATCCGGCATTTTTTCACGATTCATCAAAACTTTCTTTCTAGTCGATTTTTATAATCCACAAAACTCTCTGTCTGTCTCTCTCTCTCTCTCTCTCTCTCTCTCTCTCTCTCTCTCTCTCATTCGCCGACTCTCGTAGAGTCACATGCACGTTAAGATCCATATTTAACTATACGACACTTCTTCAGCGTTCCATTTTTATTTCGCGCTCTCCGTCGGTGGCGGCGGCAGCGGAATCGGTTGCTCAGAAACCGGCTGTTGTTGCTGCTTCCTTTTTTTTGTTTTCTTCGCTTTTTTCTGCAACCTCGGAGATTCCGTCGAACTGCGTTGTCCGCCTTCACTCACCTCCATTTTCCCCGTTTTCTCCACTTGCTCTTTTGATTGCACATCCTTGTTCTCTGTCATTTCCAGCATGCCGTCTTTTTGTTCTCCATCTTTTTCCTCACTCGATTTTGATATCTTACACGTTTCGTCCATACGTCTGGTCGCTTCATCCGTCAATGACGGTGCAACGGGCCGTTTTATATTTTCTGCTGCATTTTCTGTTTTTTGTTCGATTTTCTGCGCAATGTCCGCAGTTTGTTCAGTGTTCTGTGGGCCGGCGGTAGCGACGCTTTGATTTGTGGAGTTAACAATTGTCGCCGCGCTTTCACTTTCCGAGGATACCGCTTTCGTCTACAGAGAAAAACAAAATCCTAAATTAACAAAAAATTTATCATAAATATTTTTTTACTAAAATATTTATTACAACCATTTTTTAGTAAGATTATTTCTAAAAAAAATAAAAAACAAAGATAAAATATAATAGTTTATAAAATAAAAATTGATAGAATAAAATTTTCTGTACAATTTAACAATAAAATTAATAAAGTGTTTTAATATTGTGCTAACAATCGCGATTTCTTACCTTTGTCGATGCTGATGGCGCTGGCGGAAGCGGTATCGGCTCATTGTTTTGTTTCTCCTGTTTCACTTCCATAGGCTCGTGAACTTGAGAGATTTCTTCTCCCTGCTGATCTTTCCCAGCGCATTCCTCCTGGACCTCTTCTCGTGCGACGGCTTGTTGTTCCTGCTGATTCGCAAGTAATGCCTTCGTTTCTAGCAGGCTAATGGTATCCTGTATGCTCTTGATGGCATTTTTACGCGCCTGTCGCACATTCTCCCGGCCTTCAGTCTCGATGTCGTCTAGTTTAATTAATTCGCGCGTCAACATCTCGTCTAAGTAGATGTATTCCTTATCTTGCCGAGAGCCGCCAACGTAACGTCGCACTTGCTCAGCGAGATCGTCCACATCTTTTTGTATCTGGGACACTCTTTCCAGGGGATCCTTTGGCACTGAAGGCTTTGGCTTAGGCGATTCTTGTTGTTGTTGTTGTTCTTCTGGTTGCGATTGTTGTTGTTGAGATTGAGTTTGTTGTTGAGGTTGTTGTTGCTGATAATGTTGCTCGTAATATTGCGGTTGTTGCTGAGGTTGCTGATGATGCTTAGGCTGTTGCTGTTGATAATAATATTGGGGTTGCTGATGTTGCTGCTGCTGAAATTGTCGTCGCATCGGCTGTTCGAAATCAGCCGGCTTGTAAAACGCATCTTGGAAGTGTGAGGGCGGCCACTGCTGCCGGCTAAAGCGTTCGTTAAAGTGCGAGGGTCTGTGAAAGTGGTGCGGTGGCGGTGACGATCTCTCGAAGTGATGGGATGATGGTGGAGACGGTTGTCGCTGCTGAAAAGCGGACGGCACATCGTCGGGTGCGAACTTTGGTATCACCGGTGTATCGCGACCCTCGACAAAGATGGGGATGTGACGGACGTTGCTAGCCGGTTTACTCGGTGATTGGGCGCGTTGCTGCTGCTGATTGTGCTGCGGTGTGATGTCTACCCGGGACACGAACCTCTGTCCTTGATCGGGTTGCGATTGCTGCTGATCTCGACCTTGTTGCTGCCAACTCTCCGGTGGCGGTGCCGACATTGAGCGCTGGCCGCGCTCGCCCTTTTCCAGGTTCGCTTCCATATCGCGACGCCGCTGCTGTTGACCTATGTCTACCGTATTGCGTAGACCGTACTGTGGTATCGCAGACGATGACGTCAGGTTGTACTCGCCACCGTCGCTGCCGCCGCCGCTGTGCGAGCTGACGGCACTCGCTCCACTCGCGGCGCTGCTACCACTCGCTTGGCTACGCACGTCCTCGTCCTGATGTTGCTGACCTTGTTGTTGCTGATCGTTGTTGTTATTGCTACCGGAATCGCGGCGCCAGCGGCGACGGTCGCGCAGCAAGGAACCGCCGAACGGCCAAGGCGGACCGCGCAGGTGCTCAGCGAACTCGGGGTGTCGCGCCGCAAGGTCGTCCAAGTGCGCGCGAATGCCGTCGCCACGCGGACGCTCGAAAACGTCGGTGTCGTCGTCAAACGGGAAACCCTACGAAGACAGAAGGAAAGTCAATGCCGTGATATTTAATTATTCATGCAACGATAAATAGACGATTCCTACATCGTCATGAGACCATCGTGATAACTGTTTGATTTGATTGTCTTTTATATATATATATATATATATATATATGACATATATAAAACAAAATTGGCGAAAGATATTGTTAAAAGATAAAAACCAATCTATGCAATATATTTTATATTGATCTATGAAAATATGAGTTTCTTTATCAATAATCACGAACAATAAGTAAGATAAAAATATTATTATCAGGAGCCAGAATATTAGTCTCAATAGTTGGACAATATTAATAATATGTATATTTGTGATATTAGAAATTTAAAATTTTGAAATGGAAAAATAAATATTTGTTTTCAAAGTACAAACCATATAGAACGTAAATAAAATTGTATTAGTACATTTGATGTATTTATTTTGCAATAACAAATATTATCTTTAGATTTAGTTGAAAATTATATTTTATTATAAAATGTAAGTTGTAAATATAATATAACCATTTTCTTAGATAACTGTAAATGCGAGTACTAATTTTTCATATCCGTGCATTTCAATTAAGATTTTAATAAGATTTGATATTTAAAAACAATATTTTAACGAATTTTTTAATTTTTTTTCCTAGTATTAGTATTTTTATCTTGCAAAGCAATGTTCAACTGCAAAATGTTTACTCTGATGAAGATAAAAGACATTAAACATCATAATTTAGCGAAATCGCTTGTATTACACATTGGTGCATGCTAAAAGCTATAATACATAAAGTTATTCATTGATAATAAATGAAATATTTTAATAGATAATATGCCAAATGTTAATATTATCATTTTTTTACGCAGAATGCATGTTGTATATTTTAGTCAAGTTTTTTATATTACATCTTTGCATTTAGACATTATCATTTTATGTGAAATCTTTTTTTTATAATTAAATTAGTGTACACTTGTATTAAAAAAAATATATACGTAAAGTTAAAAATAAACAAATTTTAGTGCAGTCCAATGCAGCGATAAAAAACAGGCCTGTAGTATAGACAAAGGCAGTGCATACCCATCGATTAGCGAATTTCGATTGTCTACGCAACTTCACAGTGGTAAAAGGCTACTATGCATGAAATTAATCAAATGCAAGCCTTTAGCATATACCTTCAGTGCGCAGAGTAGTGTAGTAGTAGGTAACCATATAATTTTCGTCGGATTTGTATTCGCCGAGCAACCAAGGACGACCTTGACCGAACTCCGATTAATTTAATCGATGCTCAGCTTATCAAACAATTCCTGTGCCATTTCATCGAGACGAATAGAACAATCAATTTTTTATTGTTTAATACATGGAAGATTAGCTTAAAGATGACATGAGTCACACGGTTAGAAAATTTTGCAGTTCTGCAATTCTGCCGGTTGAGTTAATCGTTAATCGAGTTAGTCGGAGCTTAGTCGAAGTCACCCTAAACGGTCATAATTGCGCGTGACATTCATATGTATCGATTTTAAGCCGGCGAACACGAGCAAGGGCGCTGAAGAGGAAATTCGCGTAATCGGGCACGAGGTGACGAATCCTCCTCCTCCTCCTTCTCCTTCTTCTCCTCTTCCTGCAGCGAATCGAGGTCGTGTCGTCGTTCCACTTAGCACGACCAACGGGCGCTACAAGAAAGCCACACACGGGACGCAATACGGGAGAAAGAAAGAGAGAACGAGCGAAAAATGACCGGTAGAAGGAACAGAGCGAGTGCGAGAACTGGGAGGACCGCTTATAATATACTCGCACCTACGTCCGATAATTGGATTTTCCTATTTTCGGCACAACGTCGCCGGCTGGCCCTGGCCAGTGCGCTGCCACCACTGCGTTGACTTTTCGCCTGTCAACTGCGAAAACGACAACGAATATTACACTCATTTCCTTTTTTTTTTTTTTTTTTTTTTTTTTTAATTGATAAGTTTAGAGTCTGCCTTCAGTCTACAAATCTAGACTTTCAACGTACCAATGTAATTTTAATTCTTAGTTTAAATCAATCTTTATCCTTTTCTAATTCTTAGAATTAAGAAAAAAAAGATGAAAAATTAATTACATCGAAGTCAAAGTTAGTCTACATCGCTAGAAATGGATATTAATGCTGCATCATTCGCTATTATCATGAACGATTGGACGTCGAAGTGCCTTTGCCTATTCCTGTTCAACTTGTTTTACTGTATAAAAAAGGAATTCTTTTTATTTTCCGTTTCTGCCTTCATCCCCTCCTCCACTTCTTCAAAAGAATCTTTTATTTCCATCGGGTGATATCATACAGGGAAACGATCGCTCGGTCTCGTTTCTTTTCGATTCTCGGTCTCTGTCTTCGTTGGAGCACGCGCAAATACGCCCACGCGTGCACGCGAACCATCCGTCGCGTTCCAGAACGCGAACGCCGAGGGAAAAACGTCATTAGGACATACGAGAGCACAGCTATAGAAGAAAGAGTCAATCGTATGAGATAATTTTCCCCCTCCTCTCCTCATTATTCTTCCTGTCCTGTCGGCATATGTTGTGATCTCGCCTAATCGTACGGTCGATATCGAGCGTAGGAAGGTATACCTGATAACGTGACCAGTGTGACGTCACACCGCGCCTTTCGACGTAACATGGTCGTTCGTTAAGCCCGTATCAGACTATGCCGAAGATCTGCGAATTGAGAAAACGATCACGAGTTGGAAATTAAAATCAGGACAAAATTAACCGAAATTAAAGTCATTTGATTTGTCCTATTCTCAGAAATATTTTTCTACATAAAAATATTTTTTTAGATTTAATCAATTTATCAAAATCCAAAAAAATTTATTCGTTGAAATAGTTCAATCGAATCATTGTTTGAACTAATAAATACAATTATTTGACGTTTCAAATAATAAATATTTTGACATGAAAATACATTTTTTTGGGGAAAAAGTGGTCTCAGGTCTTTTAACTTAAACAATTTTATTATTCAAACAATTTCATCATTTCAATAAAAATATTAATTTTTATAAAGCCATTTTTTTCATCACAAATAGAAATATAAAATATAGAAAAATCTTTTTCTCTATGTGTTCTTTATGTTTATTTCCTTCTCAATATAGATTCAGTTTCTCTCCTAGATTGGCTTTTTTCTTAATCTCAGTTTAGTTTACCTCTTTACCTCTTTCTATTCTTTAGAATTAAAAAAAACAGAAAGTTAAATCATTAATATAAAAATGAATTAAAATTAATCTATTGGTAAAATTGAATATCAATTTCCAATTCATCAGCCCCGATTTTTAATGCGTCGTCTGATATGAGGCTTTAACAGTTATCGATCATGATAACAACGTCTTCCGAAGCTAAATAGGTTTCGTGACATCACGATTGGCTACGTTTGACGGTCATGTATTGCGATCGTGATAATTCGATGACGCATCGATAGGAACGTCGGTTTTTTAGTCGCGGTTTTGTAAATCAATAACATTTCAATAACATCATCATGATATCAATTCACAAGATAAAATATTTGTGATAACTACAATGACAAAATGCAAAATTTTTCAGTAAATCAATGATATTTAGATCTTTTTATTCTCCTTCTCTTATTCTTTTTTTTTTTTTTCGTAACGACGCGACAAAACGCGCCGTTCGAATGCGATGCGTTCCACGCGAATGCTATTTCTGATTTCCACACGATCTCGAACGCAGATGCGCGAAGAGGGAGGACATATGTCGGCAAGGGGAGGACGTCGGAACGTATGGAAATATCTCGTGCGCGCCGTCGATTCCATTAAGGAATAGTCTGAAATAGTCTGAATCATGTTTGAAAATGCTGGAAACTAGGGGAAGAGGGCCACTAACATATGTCTCTGTATCCGTTCGCGATCAACACTCGCGAGCAGCCCTGGCGGAGTAATCGATGACGCACACGACGTTTGCATACGAAGACATCGTTGTCTTCCAAGACGTAATAGTTTACGAACGCGACGAGACTTCCCGGTGGGAAGAAGAAGCCCGAATCTAACCTCTCGAGTTTCAGTTATTGAGGAACTTGCGAGGCACGAACACAATTCGGAATAAATCAACAAACGAACGAAGAACGCGACGAGAAATCTCCCGACTCGCGAGAAAAAAAATAACGCACCAAAAAAAAAGGAAAAAGAAAAAAAAAAGAAGGTGGGAACGTCACTTACGGAGAAACGGTCCAGATCGCACGCTTGTCCGAAATTGTTTGCTGCATCCACGATGACAGGCGAGTCCATTTTCTGGACCCGTTCGAGCCCGCGTCTGTTTTTGGTATATCTGACACGCACTCTCTCTCTCTC